TTCAGTTATTCAGTGCAACAAGATATTTTTTTTTAGAAAAATCAGTTCAATGCAAAATTTACATTTTATACACTAGAATAAAACATTTTTGGAATTGAATTGAGTTCTGGCTGGTTACCATTGCATATCATTCATATAATTAGTGTGTGACTTTCGATTCAGTCAATTGGTGTTCACCATCAGGTGGTGTACTTGAGACTATTTATCTTAACCTTCAATTACCTCCAAATCGAGAATTTCAGTAAATCTTAGGAATTAGACGAATTTAGTCTGAGTAGAGAACTTCGTGTGACGTGTACAAGATATAACATATTTCAACGGCCTACTTCCCAGAACAACTCCCTCTTCAATTTCTATAGAAAATAGGGAACAATTCTGACAAGCTTCTTCAACAAAGTAATTTTGGAAAAAATTGACTTCGAATGGTAAATTTCCCATTAATGAATGATTGTATGTAGTGGATAGATGATCAAGAATTCATTCACGAAATAACCTCCATCAACTCTCAAACAGTGGAAAGGTCAGTTCGCAAATTCTTCATGTACCTAAGGAATGAATTCTCTGCCAATTGTCGACATTCACTGGGATAAATCGTTGGGTAGCATGGTGGCCATATACTCAGTCCTCTACGACCTATCCATTTGTTTCGGATATTTTGGTTTTACCATATCTTTTCATAATATACATATAAAACGAGATGTTAAAAGAAACTGATGGTTCGTAGAGGTCCACTAACGTTGCCAGATTCGGTACCCAATGATCATTTATTTGAAATTATTCTGATTGTGGTATCAGTAGAAAATAACGAACATGCCTGAATGGAGACCGCCAATAATTTACAAAAATGTATTCAGACATATTTTGCACATAGGCTCTCATGTTATCTGAGTCTAAATGGATGTCGTTATAAACATATTTCGTGCATTGATTTTCTATGAGTGAGTTCCTACATTCATTTACTCAGAATTCAAAAATGTGCTTCTTGAATTCGAAAATCTCTAGAATGCGCTGATCAGATCCGAAAACCAACCCCTCTTCTCAATGGAATTATACAGGGTTTCTATGAATGATCGTAGCAGCGTAGTGGTCCTTGAAATAGTGCCACTCTCTGATCATGTTGTTTATATAGATATTGAAGCAACCGAATTTGTTATAGTTCGATCTCCATAAGTGGAAAGCGACGAATCAATGAAATATGTCAACGATCATTTATAGCTACCCTGTAGGTACTACCCTGGGAAGCAAGAGGATGAAGTATGTGATAAATTTTACACAAACAGCGACGTGTATCTGGATTTTTTTTGGAAAATCATTGTTTTGGATGTTATTGAGTGTGGATAATCACAACTGGACCAACCGATATAAACACCATACTACCGAATAATTTACGAAAAAACTTCTGGACATACTTGATCATATCAGCACACAACAGTGACATTAGAAATAATGAATATTTTGATAATCATTCGTCTTCCATCATCTATTGGAACGCACGAAAGGAAATTTCGCGTACCAAGTGAGGATAGGGAGAGGAGGTAGGTGTTGGGATCATTACATATTGAAATATTCGAATACATAGCTGCAGGGCTAGTTCATATGTGGTGAGGAATATACAGGGTGATTCTCAACCCATACGCACAAGTCCATTAATTATTGTTCATGGTAAATTACGTTCATAGAGATACTCGAAAGAACGGCAAGATATGGATTACAGATTCAACATTTAAATTGCATCATAAACTAAATTATCATTGCAACTGTTTTTAGCTGAATTTATGCGTATAGGTCGAATATCACCCTGTACAAGGTTGTATAGGTATGTTATCCATCTAGAAAGTATCTATTGCATCTGTTGATACCATAGATGGATTTTATGATGGAAACATTATATCCATATTTAAATGTAATCAGTCCGTGGTTACTGCCGAATATTTTGCAAATTCCACAAATTACGCGAGCATTTTGAATGTCCCTATGTATAGTTCTAGATATGATTTATGGTAACCAGCCTTGAATAATTAAAATCTAATCAAAATTATGTACATGAGTAACAATATTTATACCCATTCGTAAAATTCAATTCAACGTTATGTTTCAGAGTTCATGGCACTGTGTCAGATACGGCAATAAAAATTAATTCATAATTATTATTTGTCATTCAAATCAATGGAAATGCATCGGATGCGACAGACTGATCATTTGATCGTTTACACAGATAAAAATCGGGTGATTCTTTTCTCCATGGCAGGCTCGCAATTGACACATTTTTGCAAATAATTTCGAATTCAAGATATCATGCTTCTTCATATGGCTTATATCTACAGGGTGACTTGAAAGCTCGCTCTATAAGTACAACAATACACTAAGCAGCTGACACGGCTCTATAATAACTTTCTGTAATCATATTCCGTACCTCCCGATGAAAGCAGATAGATGGTAAACACAATGGTACCATATGTCCCATACACTGGTTTTCTACCTTGTTAGGCTCAACAGCCACCAAATGTTTCCTTGAAAAAGCCTCATGTGAGTCGAGCACTCTCACAAGGATGAATCTTCAGCTTGTTAGTACCTCGCAGTACAGTCAAACATGAGAGACTGCTTCCTCCTCTTTCTCACAAGACCTAGTGTTATTTTCTAGTATATATATGTATTGGAACAAAAACTCGAGTTCCGAACAATTCTCCATCTTTATCGATATATCCAAAAATAAAGGCACTTTACTCTTGGAGGAAGTGAATTTGCACCTATAGTGCTCCAGTTTGGTATAAGAGGATGATACCTTCTCGTTACTGCAAAGCCTAAGCATGGGATCAATTGATCCATCCACATCTGGCATAGGTATTTTCTTGAGAGACATTGAGAGGTAACCCTCCAACAAACCACTGATGCTGTATCAGTAATGGCTTCCTTCTCATATCCACCTTGCCATTTTCCAGAACCATCTCTTGCCATCACATCTGCTGCTCTATCATCCACAAAACTTTTATGACCTGTCATACAAGGAAGATTTACCTCATTCTGGCTTGCCAGGATGGAAAGAAATCGTAGGCAGTTCCATATACTTCCATACAATTCTTGATTTGATTAAGACTGTATAGCCGCGTCTGATAATCAGATCAATAGGGACAAAATGCCTCGAAAGAACAGAAGATCTGGACAATGATTTGACAATAGAATCGGATAAAGACAAAATGCCCCAAGAGTGCAGAAGATCTGAACACTGATTCGACTCAATATAACAATTCCGACTCTTGTGCCATTATAGCCAGTGTACCAAAAGCAGTTGGTCACGACCTATTCATATCAGCGTAGTAGTTACTTCTCGACAGCATTATATAACTTCCTATGTGATTATGCTGGGTTCAGAGTATGTCCGAAGAGATTCCTGTCAACATCCAGAGGCGAAATATCGAGTTTGTTTCTCATAAAAGCTTTGGAGTACTAAGTATTACACCCGTAATGCAATTATGAGCAAGCCATTGGAATTTGGTGAGCTCTAACATTGCCACTCTTTGATCAGCACAATTGATGGTCACCAGATGAGCTATCCACATAGATATATTAGTCCAACCACAGCTGTGGATTGAGTCTCCGTGCAGCCATCAGTGTCATTTTGCCATTTTTGGAGATATTCTGCTAGTGCTCCAGTCTGGTATAAGAGGATAATCCCTTCTTGTTACTGCATGGGATCATTTGATCCATCCACATCTGGGATAGGTATTTTCTTGAGAGACATTAAGAGTTAACCCTCAAATGAATTACTGATGCTGTATCAGTATTGGCTTTCTACTTATATCCACCTTGCCATTTTCCAGAACCATCTCATCCCATTACATCTGCTGCTTAGTCACCCACAAAGCCTTTATGGCCTGGCATACAAGGGAGATTCACCTTATTCTGGCTTGCCAGAATGGAAATGAATCGTAGGCAGTTCCATATACTTCCATACAAATCTTCATTTGATTCGATTATGACTGTATAGCCGCGTCTAACAACAAAATGCCTCAAGAGAACAGAAGATCTGGACACTGATTTGACTCAATATAACAATTCCGACTCTTGTGACTTTACCGCCAGTGTACCAAACTAGAAGTTTGTCACGACCTATTCATATCAGCGTAGTAGTTACTTCTCAACAGCATTATATAACTTCCTATCTTCGATAGCGGGCTTGTGATTATGCTGGATACAGAGTATGCATGTCAACATACAGAGCCGAAATATCGATTTTTGGTTCTCATGAAAGCCTTAGAGTACTGATGATGCAATGATAAGCAAGCCATCGGAGTTTGGTGAGCTCTAACATTGCCACTCTTTGATCAGCAGAATTGATGGTCACCAGATGAGCTATCCACATAGTTATATTAGTCTCAACACAGCTGTGGATTGAGTCTTCGTGCAGCCATTAGTGTCATTTTGCCATTTTTGAAGATACTTTGCGAGTGGATTTTCCTGGTAAGATTTACATCTATTTGTATTCATAATGCGAAATTATCAAACTATATCAATGAATCTTTCATCCAAATCTCAAATATTGGTTGCTTCACGGTGCCACAAGAATAGGAGTAATATTCACATCGTAGATATATTCAATATTATAGGGCAAAAAGGAAAATGATGATATGTCGTAGGCACCTGAATCATTATTCCTATTTATGGCACTGTGACCTTCTTTATCAATGATAATCGCACTACAAACAGTTAGTCGGTATATTTTTGAGTGACCAGTTCTGCTTAAGCTTTGTGAGTGAAAAACCAGAAAACATTTCTAATGATTTGAAAAAACTGATTTTACAGAATAATTTGGAATGAAAAACTCATTGTGTAGATTCCATGACTTGAGGTCATTTAAAATTGGGATTTGATATGATATCACCCTGTGTTTACTGATCATACAATATTCTTTCATGAACTCAATGAATGGAGGGCGAAAGAAAAAGCTGAGCAGTATAATTTAATTTGGTTGGTTTTGAGCTGGGATTATTTGATATGGTACATTAATTTTGAGAGAGAGAAAACGTACCCGACAAAAAACAGTGAAGAATCACAGCTGCGAACTGTGGCATAACCCACCTTGCCATGCTGACACATCCTGAAACAAAAACAATCATATATTACGTTATTCCCTTATAAATCGATATCGAATGTTGCTGTAGTCAAACTATGAAAGAACCTTTTTCGCCCTAAACGGATGATGCATGGATTCGAAATTCGAACGTGCTTTCGCATCATTCTTGTTTCAACAACCGGGCATAATCCACCATTTTTGAAACGTTGATTTCATGATTCATAGAACATCGTCTAATCTCTCCCATGTCGGATTGAAAACGTGGAGTTGTTGATTCATTTTGACTATTACTTCTGTAATCCGCTCACATGGGTGCCAGGTGGTGGAGGGGGGGGGGGGCAAACGCCTTCCCCTCCCCTGGAAATGGACTTCGAGGGGTCTAATCATAACTATCATCAATAAGAGATATGCTTAGAAGACATATGTGATTCATTGTTCATCAAGATCTTTGAGTATACACTGAAAAGGATAAAAACATATAGTTGAGATCTATACCATATATATATAGAATGGAAGCTTACGGGACTATGCCTCCTGAGTCGCCATGGAGAAACTGTGAATAATGAAGAAATAACTTACTACCAAAGAAGCAATCAATATCTCCGAATTATGAAAGAAGACTGCAATTTTCATTTTCAGAGATTTTCTATATTCCTTTTTCCTAATCCAGATGTGATTTTTAATTCTTATTCTTGACGTTGTCTCATAATTTCAAGAATGTTATTCTTATTTTGATTTATATGCAAATATCAGACCTGGCAAACGTTGTTTTGCTATTATACATTATTTCTAGGAAAAACTTTCTCAGTAGAATATTTATCAATGCGTTCTTTATAACCTATATTATTTCCTACTTTTTTTGGTCTGCGTATTTCATCAGTTTTCCAAACCACTATTTTTTTTCTATTTTTTTTATTTGGCTTCCTATAAGAGCGTGTTCCATTAGTTTTTCAAACCACTATTCATCACAAAGCTATAGCCATATTAGATCCGTTCTTTTGAATTTTCCTATTCTGACGAAAAAAAAAAAGCATAATCTCCGACTCCACAACCCCTCAGATAGCAATTTTAAATAGAATCTGATCATAAATAGAGAACTTGTTTGCCATTTTGGACTCGCCATCTTGAATTTTCCAATTTTGATGAGGGGATCATAATCGCCGACCCCAAAAACACCTAGATACCAATTTCAAATAGAAACGGATCATAATTACAAAACTCGCTCGCCATATTTGACTCGCCATCTTGAATTCCCTATTTCCGATCCCAAAAACCCCTAGATACCCTAGATAATTACGAAACTCGCTCGCCATATTGGATCTGTCATTTCGAATTTCTTAATTTTGACGGAAGGATCATAGTCTCCGTCTCCGAAAACCTCCAAATACCAATTTTGAATAGAATCGGATCATAATAACAGAACTTGCCCGCTATATTGGATCAGACATCTTGAATTTCCAAATTTCCACGAAGGAAATCACCAAAAGTTCAAAGAAAAACTCCAACACCTACCTCCTCTCCCTATCTTCCCTAGGTACGAACGATGCTCTTCGAACATTATAGGGATCCCTTTTCGTGCGCACTAAACGATAAAAAAATATATGTAGACATAGACAGGCGCTAAAGAGCGCTTCAGTCGAATCCATTCCTGATAGTGTCCCTAATGGGACCTTTTTGTAATGTGTATTGTTTAATTAGTGGTGTAAAAATATAACTTGTGATTCTAGTCGTTACTTATGGTTCAGGCATGTAACCTGGTCCAGACTAGTTTGTGTACGATTTTTCCGAAAATCGGGAATACAGGATGTTCCAGTAGATTATGTCAGATGTGACAAACTTCCTAAAGCTACAGTACACAAAAATGTGTTCCTGATTATTAAATTTTGAACATTCCAACCCTGATTGCCGTCTTTGAAGAAATTTATAGATGGTAGAATCAAGACGAAGATTCAACATTCCAGAATTTTTTCCTGATGATGAAAGTCTTACCGAAACTTTTCGGAATATGATTCAATATGAAGAATATACGTTGTTCCGAATAATATAACAAATTATTTTGATCTACTGCACATGTCTTCATTGTCGAGAACTCTTTTCACGATTTCATCTTTAAAATTCGGACACGGTGATTGATCAATCCTGATAGAATTATGTTTTTCTCTCCGTATATTCTCTTTTATCTCTGCACTTTGCAGCACGAGACAGAAGCCTCACAATTTTACTACTGGTTTCAGACTGAAAGGGCCATAAAATCGAGAAATTTATACCATTCTGAATGTGTCTTTTTGCAATTCGAATGCGGGTAGTTTGAATCACGAAATTTCAATGTTAATGGGTATGGATGTGAAACAATCATATAAGCTCACACTTATAAAAATTCCAATTCAATCGAACCTACTGAGTGAGCAGTGACTAGTGGTGTCAGCACTGTGGGTACGAATAGTACATATATAGTACAAAATGATTTGCGATTATCTTGAATCTTTTCGATAGCAATAAACATCTACTCAGAGAATGTGAAACGTGATGTATATAGAGTCATTGTATGATATTTTCATCAACGAAGCAAGACGATTTTATATAGCATACAAACTATCGTATTTCTATATTTCAGAGTCTGAAATACACAGGGTGCCATCGAATTCATTAGAGAAGTCATAACTTCTAGAATATCAGGTGAAGGTATCGAATGAGATTTGGTATAGGTGAATGGTTGCGGTATGAAAAAGGGAGTTTTCGCATATGTTCCTCTTTTGGTCACTTCTGGTTTCACCGGCTCTGGTTGTGAATTTCTTAACACCTTGTGTATTGGTACATTTTTGGATATCTGTACGCCTAAATGATTTTTCTGAAGTAATGTTTAATATTGCATAAAATTAAGGCACATTTACTAAATTTTACTCTCTGGTCATGAGTTTATATGACTGGCATTACCTGAGTGAGTGTTTTTTCTCAAGAAAATGAGATAAAATCGAAATCGGAATATTATACATTATGGCTATCCATGGCACAAAAACAATTTCGAGATGTGACATCAAACTCCATATGTGAAACCAGTAGAACATTTTTTTGACCGAATGGGATCACTCCAAATTTGAAGTTTGCATTGTGCAATTCATCGCCCTGTGGAATATTCATTCACCCATATTCTCCTTTTTCGAATTCATAATTTTGATGACAATGAAATGAGCTTCTGAATGTTGTAAACCGAATTAATTTTTTTGGAAGTTATAATCTCACGAATCTGAGTGAAAATTTCAGGAGTCCCAATTCAATTGCAGGACACTATACAGAATGTTATTCAATTTATGGCAAAAAATATGGTTCCTCTTGCATTTAGGGAAGCAAAGTTTATATTAACGAGCTATACGGTACTGAAATTTAAAGAGAAAAATCGTTTTCTTATCATAACTTCAATACCGTTCTAGATATTTCCATGAAATTTGAGATGAACCTACTAAGCGCTGAAAGGCATTTTTCGATGCAGAAGATTTTTTAATATCTCTACCACTGGCGTACGTAAGGGATGTATCCTGGAGATTTTTTGAAAAAAATATTGTATGCTCACGATCTTTTCGAGAATGGAAATCATTTTTGAAATCCTCATTTTGTTTTGCAACAATTTGATCCCATTGTGAACACCTACAATAAAATTTTGAGTCAAATCGAATTTTTATTATCTACTCAGAAACTAAGCTAGATACAAAAATCACACATCGAATAAAAAGGTTTTCATTTTAGTGGTTCAATCTAATGAAAATATAAAACTTGAAAAAACCGGTGGTGTACAATGAAATTCACCACGAATATCGATGAATTTACCCACTGTGACGCCACTGGAAATATGATTGCGAATCTGATTGCACTAAAAGAAGCTCCATATTACTATCAACGAAACCACAACGTTTTATTGAAATTGTTGAAAAGATAATTGAGAAATGAATGGAAAAAAGATTTTTCTTGGAAATATCAATACCCTGTGTCTCGATAACGAAACAAGTTAGGACACATGTTTATATGCACTTTATTTCCTAAAATATCAATTGTATCACGCCTCGAATTTTCTCGGTGTTATTTAGATACACCCTGTATAATATCTAAGTACTTTGTGCTTGACTCGACATTTGGTGCCAAGAAGTTTCTGTTAATTAAACGAAATTCGATGAACGGCGTCTAATGGCATGGAAGTGAGAAAATGCCAAACATTCGAATGGTCTCAACCAAAATAATGTGAGGTGCCCCTTCGACCAGCTCGTGAAACCAGAGCAGAATTCTTGTGGCAAGAGATGTCCGAATTCGATGAATGCGCTGCAGGTTATTTCAAATGCTTTCGATTCCCACGAAGGTAGTGGCATTCCAATCGAAATCACAGTTCGTCCCAGAAAATACAAAACAATATGCAGATTGCAGAGTGTCTCAAATGAGGAGGTCGCGTGCAAAACCAGATATATTCACTTTTCTAAATTTTTCAGGAAACGAGAAAACGTCTGTAATCTGTTGCCTGATTCAAATAAGCAAAATTCCACCGTAGATCGATTAGAATTTGGATAATTTTCTGTAAAATTTTGTAAAATTTTGTATATCGCTACTTCAAAGTTGGGAACCAACTCCCCAGAAGTCGAAACTTGTGCGAGGTAAGGAAGAGCGGGACCTACAGCTTATATTGGAATGCGAACCACTTCTAGGGCATCGAGGTGCTGCCAGGATTACAACCATGAATCACACATTTTGAAGAAAAATGCTCAGCCGACAGCCGGATTCGAACCGACAGTACCTCTGCATCGTGAACGGCTATCTAGCGAATTTCAGCGCATAGACAAACTCGGCCGGTTTAGACCGGAATAGAAAGAATCACTTTTGGATGAATTGAATTGAGAATCCAGATGAATATACAAAAAAAGTAATGGATATTTCTTGTTTTGCACCAAAATTTTTATGAAACAAGTATTTTTCCACTTGAATTATCACATCAACCTTTTCTTGAATATGCTCCGCATGTTTTGGACTCGAGCCCGCACAGTATA